CCCCTGCCCTTTGCTTGTGTCTGGTCCAGTAGGCTTAGCCATGCGCTTAATCCCCAGAAAGTGGTTCGATTATTGCTGACCAGCAATAGCAAGATAGTTTTTTTCCACTCCCCCCCAGCTATCAACCTTCCATTAATTCCTTAAGCAGAAATGTGGTGCAATCTATATTTCCTTGGCATGTGTCACCCAGATGGTGTACTGTTCATGTTTTCAAATAATCATGCTCCAAAATAACATAGTTTGAATAATAAAAGAATAGAATAGAAGGAATAGAACTAAGAAATTCTCAAAAGCTGCATAAACTTTATACATCATGCTGTCACTCATCCATATTACTTGGCAAAAATTGTATCCCTTGTTAGAACAGTTAGTGTTCTTAATCCTGGAGGAAAATATATATATCCTATTCATACATTGTAAATTACCTATTAATGTTCAGTGTTATATTTGAAATGAGTAGCCTTTTTCCAATACTTTTGGTCAGTATAGTGGAACTTAATACATAAGTAGCTTTAAATCCTTACACATAGGTCGATGCTGTCAAGCAACCATGACTGTACATTTTAGTATTGATTGGAGTCACAGCAGTAAATTCCTCCTTAACTTGTATGCTTCCCTGTCCATATCTACAACCAGGAGTTTTACGTGTTCTCACAGACATAGAAATATAAAAGTGAAGAGAAATAACATGCATCATGTATTTGTAAAATTTATAAAAAAATAATCTCCAGATTGTTTCAAAATTAATCTTACATTAGATGCTAGCTTTGGGTGCAAAAAACTGAAAGATTTCATAATCACACTGATGTCAGTCAAAAAATTATCTTTAAAAGCTCACATTGCAATCAAAATAACTGAAATGTGGGATTAACATTCACAGTATGAGAAACACTTTACTTATGAGCAATGGTTTTGGAAAACACTTTAACAAAGCAAAATATATATCAATGTTAATTTGTGTGTATATTTTAGTTAAAGTGATTTCAATCCATTCTTCCAAATTCATAAAAGCACATCCTGAAAACATTCTTTACTAATTTAATAGTGGTGGAGATTTTATTAACCACCTTTATTCTGGTTTGGAGAAAAAACATTATCAGCTAAAGGAACTTTGAAAAGTATACCAGAAACTTCATTCCCACCTATCTGCATTTTAATTCTTTTTTCCCCCTATTCATTCATTCATTCATTCAATAATAATATTCATTCAATAATAATAATTCAAAGTTATCTATTAACAAATTCTATTTTCAGGCTTACAAAACAAAAGCAAGTAACATGAGAAACAAAAAACTGCAACCCTTTTTTCAAAAATAATTGATTTCAAACATACTTATTTATAACGTTGTATGTTCAGTTCTGCACTTTTACTCTCAAAGGCAGATAGAAAAAGAAACATTGTTAAAGAATTTTTCATAGTCCAAACCCTTCAAATATAGGAATGGGCAGCTTACAAACTAATTCATTTCCCTGTCGCTCATTTTTGGGGCTCAGAGCCCATCCAAATTATGTAGCAAATTTCTGATTTTCAGTGATGAAATTATCCATGTTTTCCTATTAAAATTAGATTATCCAAGGAATTTCACTAGGCTTAATAAATCTATTTTGCTTTTAAACGTACAAAATAACAGAAGGAAAGAGGGCGAGGGAATGTCATTCCCTCTAGTGATTTCATTGCATCACCACCATGCCTCCTATGATTCAGTAAAATCAACATCATTTTAAAACGTTATTTGGAAATATAGTCTGACCATAAGTTATTTGTCCTCTGTCTTACAGCCCCCTTCCTTCTCATCCAAGTAAAAGAAAAAATATATTTTATAACTGTAGATGAGTAAAAAAAAAAAGGACAGGTAGTCCTTGATTGATAACAGTCCGTTTAGCGACTGAAGTTACAACGGCACTGAAAAAAAGTAACATGACCATTTTTCATACTTATAACTGTTGCAGCATCCCCATGGTCACATGATCAAAATTCAGTTCCTTGGCAGCTGACTCATTTATATTCCAGGATCATGTGATCACCTTTTGTGACCTTCTGACAAGCAAAGTCAATGGGGAAGTCAGATTCACTTAACAACCATTTACTAATTTAACAACTGCAGTGATTCACTTAACAATGTGGCAAGAAAGGTAATAAATTGGGACAAAACTCACTTAACACCAGAAATTTTGGGTTCAATTGTGGTCGTAAGGACTGCTTGTAATCTACAGTAGAAATAGCCCTCATTTCTTTGTTCTAAAAAGCATCATGTAATTACTACTTGGCACATTCAAAGGCAGTTAGTTCCCTCCCCATTAGGAATTTTATTTATACACACACACACACATACACACACACACACACATATATATAATATATAAGTCTTGGTGTATTCGGGTCTTTTCCCGTGTAAGATTGAGAGTATCTTGACAACGTTTTGACGAGGGACCTCATCGAAATATCGCCAAGATACTCTCAATCTTACACGGGAAAAGACCTGAGTACGCCAAGATTTACATACCTGTACCCATGAAAAAAGTTCCTCCTACTGTGTTACTCTAATCCCATTCTGAAAATGCTTTCACATACAACAGTCATGGTTCATATAGATAGAAACCCGAAGAGCAAGGAAAGGAAGGGCCTTTTCAGAAAAGCAAAGAAATAATGGGATTTGTGGAAAGATCAGACCCCCTAGAGGCAAAAGAAGTGTTTGTAATAAACAGATGAGCAGGAAGACATGTGTGGGAGAGTGCAGGGGCAGAATAGCGGAAGAGGAAAATAAATTTTGAACTGGTAGGAGAAAATCAGCAGCTGGGTAAAGGAAGGATATTTTTTTAATGGAGTACAGTTTTAGAGGAAAGCTTGTGCTGACCAGAGTTCTTTGATGGGAAGTATTCCTCAAATCACATTGTGCCCTTTGTTTCTAGTAAAAAGGGAAATTGTTGATTCAGCAAATTACATTATCAACTAAGGCAGGGGTGTCAAATTTGCATCATGACTTTTACCCCCTTCACTAAAATGGGGGCGGGTGCAGCCAGCACATGACGCATCTGGAGTGCAGGCTGTGAATTTGACATCCCTGAACCAAGGTTTAATATAAGTATTCTTTCTTTCCAGTCCTAAGACTTTATCATAATTTGCACATGATTTAATTCCTGCAATTCATGAATGGATTCCCCCCCCCACACACACACACATAGGTTAGGAGAGGGAAATTTGCATCATCTCATCCAGTAGCATTATTTCATTCTCCCAGTAGAAATTACTTGACACCATCTTACAATATGTTTTGGGACAATAGTGAATCTTCCCAAAAGTGGCCACCTTGTCAATGCCACTAAAAAAGCACATCATAAAATTATTGAGGAAACCACAAAAAAACTCAGAAAAACATCTGTGTATCAGCAGGCATCCTTCCCCTTGACTCTTACCAGGAGAAAAGCAGAGAGAGTAAAATGGGATTCACAGGAAAATGGCAACATAGAAATCTTTGCTCACAAGAATGATTTCTCTTTAAATGTACTGAAAAGCACCTGGATGACCCCAGGCTTCTAGAGGAATGTTTTAAGGACAGATGAGTTAAAAGTGGATTTTTTCAGGCTATATATGTAGTTTTAAGAAGTCAAATACTGCCTTTCACATACCAACTGTCAGGCATCAAAGGGTCATGGTTTGGGTATGGTGGACTTGGATTTTGGACTTGGACCAGTTGCCATCACTGAAGATATTATGAGTTCTGTTCTGCATCAAAGAATTCTGCAAGAGTTTAAGTCTGAGCGAGTCATGCAGGAAGATAGCTATACCAAACATACAAGCAAGTCGACAAGATAATGATTCAAGAACAAACTCAGTTTCTGAAAATGGCCAAATCAAAATCCAGAGCTAAATTCCATAGATAAGTGGCAGAACCTGAAATTATCTACTCAAATGCCACTCTGTTGAAGCAATTTGCTATGGAAGAATAGACCAGCTTTTGTATCTAGTAAGCTAAAACACTAATAACCAATTGGAGGAAGCTTTTGCCTGCAGTTCTTGGAAGTAAATGTGTGTATGTTACTGCAGTGGTCCCCAGCCTTTCCAGCTCTGCCAACTAGCAGCGGCAGCAATGAGAGGGTATGGTTTCACATTGCGCCCTCCACTTGCACAAATAGAGCTTTGCACACTCATGCACTTGCCCACCACTTGCATGGCCTGGTTCTCAATGGGCCATGACCCAATACTGGGTCACGGACCAGGGGACCTGTGTTACTGAATCTAAAAGATTTTTTTTTTTTTTTGCACTGGCACTTAATATGTTGGTTAATTTAGGTTACAGTATTACATAAATGGAACAAGAGCCAATCTTTAATAGTAAGCATTGGTTTACTTAAACTCTTCATATATCAATGGGACCGTCAAGCTGTGATAATATTCATATGCAAAAGTTCAGAATATCCTAAGGAGGGTGAATACTTCTGCATAGAATCATACATGTCTATAGTATGTATATATTTATACTCCCATCCTCACAACATACACATGCATCTTAGTATAGTGAGAAGTACTGAAATGAAGCACTCAAGACTTTCTTACATCTAAGTAATTGTATAATCATAACACAGTACAACCAACAGTTCTGTACTTCCCACTCATATTTAGATTTTTAATACTTTTTATTACGTCTCTGTTCTTTATATTTTATATATTGAAACTGAGGAGAAAAAATAATTGTCTAAATGTATTTGACTGGCACATTATAAATCCAAATAGACTATATTGTTACCTTTATTCTACTGTAATCCTAGATAGTTCTGACATGATATTTTGAGTTATTGCTATAAATGAAATCCTAAGATTAAGAAGTGATAGATAATTTATAGGACATGCTGAAAACAGTGCTATCAGTGGACTTGAAGTATGAAATAATGTTTAGTTATAATATTTAGGTTTTATGTATTTATTTTGGTATGTAAAATAAATTCCATATACTGTATTTGCTTGGTAATTTCACATTTGCCCTGCATTTTTTCTTACTCAGATATCTTACATTGATATACCAGGAGTAGGAAACAGAAGGATGAAGCGTCATTTGACAATAAATTATGTACAGAATATGGTTATTTGCTGGTGGTCGTCTGCAAAGGATGAACTTTGGCCTTGGTCCCCAGTGTCTAGCAAAAGAGAGAAAGCCAACTTGCTACTCTTGAAATGTGAACATGGCAACTTAGAGGTAATCCTCTAAATCTCTAAATTGGATATTTGTTTTACCCGTTTAGCTAAAAGCTCTAGAGTGATTTTGTAGCAAACTAGTAAATCCCTGCTCTGGGTTTCCAGCCTAAATGATGCAATGTAAAGGGAAAAGGGAAGGAAGGTCTAATACGGGGGAAGTTCTCATAATGACCAGTTTAAATTAGTGCTATATCAAAATACTTCAGTCCAAATGTGGCAGAAATTGAAACTTCCCTAGAGTTATTAGGAATTATGTCTTTGTTAAGATGTAATTCCTACTATTATTTTTATGTATTTGAGGAATTTTATTTTAAGGATCATTTGATTGAAGGATTTTAGAGGTGGATTATAGAAAACAAATACATACCTTTGACCTTACTCTCTTTGTTTTTAATTGTTCATCCCTTGACAGTTATACAGAAAGAAAAATTGAAGGGATATTTAGCAGAGCTTTTTAGGTTCGGTAGAATGAATCTCAATTCAGAGAGAAGAAGAATCAAATGGAGTTGGGATCTCATGAAAGCTTCTCAACTCTTCCAGTGAAATAATACATGAAAGATTCAGTACCTCTTGTTGATCTGATACTTTATCTGGGATAATTTATTTAGTTATTTAAAGAAGCACCTACTTTTACTTGGATATAGTGATTTAATTTTCTTAGTTTCTTTTTTGGATATCCCTATTTAGATGAGGTGGGTAGCAGTTAAAAATGATTCCTTTAGATTCTGGCCTCTTAAAGTATTAAGTGCCGGTTTAAAATAGTCTTTGGTTTTAGAGGGGTTTTAGAACATCATTCATATTTTCAACTCTTACTTACTAGCATGAATATTTTTTATTATTGTTTTAATATTTTGTTTCTATGTTTAAATTTGCTGAACCTAAAGGAAAGTTATGAAATATATCACATCAATATAATTTAATCTGTTTAATATAGCTGAGAAGGGACTAATAAATGTTCCCTGGGACACTCCTGCTTTTATTGGAACTTTTTAAAATAGAAACAGTATAATTAAATCGTTCATAGATGGTTGAGTATGTATATGCATTATGAAATAAAATAATTATATTTTAGTGCCCTATGATATATATTTGTTCACAAAGTCAAACCTATTTTTACTAGTGAAAAATTCTGCTCTAGTTAATTACACCCACAAGAATATGTACCTTTAACTGAAAAACAGTACATCCGTTTACATTATAAGCTATATACTAAGCTATAAACTAAACGATATACACTGATATACAAACCAACTTTGAGGCACGATTAATATGTCACATGATTTAGCAGATAATAAGGCACAATGAAATCCATTTCTGTCAATTTGTTATCTTGTTATGAATTGAAGCATTTTTTTATTTATAGTACTTGTAAGTATATGCTACTGTATTTCAACACACTATGTAATTCTGCATATGGGTTGTTTTTCAGATTCTGAGTTATATTCATACAGATGGGGATCCACTTGATGTCCAATTTAGTATGTGTAATCCACATCAGATTCATACTGTAGAACAATCTGCGAGTGCAGACCAAAAGCCCATGGTTGACAGCTGCATTTATGAATATGTTAGGAATAAAGTTCATTGTGTGACGATCACCAAAATACCATTAACATCCAAGGCCATCAGCTGTTGCAGGAATATTACAGAAGACAAACTAGTTCTGGGTTGTGAAGATTCTTCAGTAGTTCTGTATGAAGCCTACCGTCAAGTAACTCTGGCAACAGAAGCAAAGCTGCTACCTGCCTTAATGTGTTGCCACCCTAGTGCTGCCATAATTCTTATTGGTAGTTCTCAAGGAGAACTACAGTTATTTGACATGGCACTGTCTCCAATTAAAATGCAGCTTTTAGCTGAAGATTTTTCACCAAAATCAACTTTACAATTCAGTGAAAATTTTGAGATATCCAGTAGTCTCACTCAAATCCAATGGGCTATCCCACAAGATTCTTCTCAGGACATAGATGTTTTGGGTATACATGATCTTCTATTATTTAGATTTGACAAAGGACCTGTTGGAGTGCTTCATTTTAAAACTGGTAAGTTTATTTGGTAGTTAATGGCAAATGCAATTTTTATATGTTTCATCAGTAAATATAATATTTCTGCTTTTTAAAAAGATTATTTTTCAGCAAAACTAAGCAAGAAAAGTAAAAGAACTGGAAGAAAAAAATCCAAGATTACATTATATTCTTTATGATTGAACTAAATGGTTGGGCTGAATGTGTTGAAATCCATTGATTGTAAGAAATCCGAAGAGAGATACGTAATTAAAATATTTGTATTTTATGAGTCATCTGTCTCAGCCAATGAAAATAATCAGCAAATAATGTAGATGAAATCCACAGTTATGCAAGAAACTTTGATTTATGGAGAAGGCCTTTCTCATCTTGCCCCTTGCTCTAAATCTGCTACAGCAGAATGGGCAATTCTCCCAAGTTGATTTTGGGAGCTGGAGAGAAGAACATCTTTCTCCTAATTATCCCATTGATAATCACAGGTCTCTGGATTTTATCCAGCACCATTAATATTGCAACTGAAGAATAGTTTTCAAGCAAGTGTGATTGCAGATTTGACCAAATAGGTAGGTAGGTAGAAACTACTCCGCAAGCCACTCTAATGATTACCTATGCCCCACCAATTAGGTATATAAATAAAATGACATCATTCAGGATATGTCAGCTTTATATTCTTTAAAAATTGTCTTGTTACCTTGTTTAACAGGAAAGCTTGTACAATAATTTGTGAGATAAATTATTCTATCTTGTCTAGTGTTTTAACAGTCATAGATGTTTATTTGGAAAGCTAATTAAAACAGTGTGCTGATGTATTCTCAAATGTTCCATATTTTTAAATGCTGTTAAATTTTTTTGGTTACCTGTCTACCAGGAGGCAATCAGGCTATACCTACCTTGCTTTTCTTAGTTTTCCCATGTGGCTCTGCTCACAACAATTTTCTAAAAAGCACAGCTTTACTTTTCCTATCTCTAGCACATTTATGTTCTTAACTGAGAGAAATATGCTCTCAGTGCAGGGATTTAGAGGCCTTTCTGCTAATTGCCAGCTTGTAAACTTAATTGGACTGTCTCCCTGGGCACTGTTCCTAAATCAATTAGGCCATGAGTTGGCTGTCACCTTTCTTACCAAAGCAGGTCACTTGGAAATGCATGACCCAAAAGAAATTAGACACCCAAAAAGGAAGCTGTTGACCTCTGTGATTGAAAGCTGCAATATTTTTTTAAAAAAAATTGCTGTTATATTTTCAACAAGAAATTCTCTGGTTACATGCATTAGGGATGATTGTCCTATTCTGATCCAGTTTATTAGAAAAATTAGAATGTAACATAAATCTGAGATAACACTTGCATTTTCAAAATTTACTTAAAACTTACAATTTTATGACACTAAACATATTAGAAAAATATAGAACAACATTGTCATGGGGACAGAAAGAACAAAGTCCATAAAACTAAAATATATGTAATTCTAGGAAGATGTGTGATTGTGATTAATAAGTCTGAGAGATCATGGGCTCCACAAAAGCCATTGAGGTGAGCTCTTTTTCCATGTCTTCTGAGAGTGGAATTAATTTATGGTGCAAGCTTTGGTTTATCAATAAGGCAAATAATATTTAGGTTTTATCCATTCTAAAGCTTATTTGGCAAGTAATCATTTACTTACTTCTTAAGTAATTAAAAGTTCTGGATTTCATCTAGCAGAAGTCATGGCGGGAGGGGAGGGTGGGGGGGTTGGGGGGGGAAAGGGGGAAAAATTTGTATTTGAAAAACTTTTTCAATAAAAAAAAAAGTAATTAAAAGTTCTGTCAGTTTGAGGGTCAAACAGAGTTTGCATCTCATGTTGAAAGCTGCACTTCAAAAGTGAATAGGACCAAAGTCTTTTTGGGAAGAGATTTTTAGGATTTCCAAGATGTGAAATTGATACTTTATGTACCTGCAAGTTTTAAGGAAACTATTGCTCTGCCACAAAAGTAGATGGATCTAGGATGATTTCTTGTAGTAGAAAAATTAAGAAAATAATTTGAAACAAGGATTGGAATGAAAAGGAAGTAGCAATTTAGGTTTTTTGCACTAAAGTATTTTATGTATTATTGTTGTCAGATCTTCCAGTTACAATGTGCAACTTCTTGTGATAACATCTGAATATTGTCCAAAGACCACTTGTTTGGCTTCTAATAGCAATTGTGATATGTCACCCGTGTTATCTTCAAGAACGTGTAAAGAGAGCCTTGAAATTTGAAAAATTGAATCTCCCACTAAGGTTACAATAAAATGTGAACTTAAATGCGAGTTATCTGGGCAATATATAGTGGTATACTTGTGAGAGACAAGCTAGATAACATTTTTATTGGCAATTTTAAAAATTTTGAGCTTTTGATTCAAAACTTGTAATAATACAAGGAACAACAATTAAAAACAAAAATAAGACATTTCATTTCATTTAAAGTATTGTTGAAGTAGGTGTGTGTGTGTGTGTGTACACACACACACATATATATATAAGCCCGAACAACTAAACAATGTAAGTCAAAAAGAAAGGAAGAAAATAAAAAAATAGTAAGAAAGGTAACCCTCCCTCCAAATACCAAAATATTGGAAAAATCATCATCATTGAATCACTGTTCAATTAAAATTTTAAAAATGAAAAGCATTTTTAAATTTTACCAGTTTTCTACTGTATAATATCAAAATAATATCACAAACCTAAGCTATACGAAATCATAATGTCCAGTCTTGCTTCTTTGTCAAAACTAAGCCAGATTAAAGACTGCAAACTGATAAATTTTGTTGAACCAACCTTTGGTATAAATGCATTTTTAAAAAATATAGTTCTGGTTCTGTATGTCTAAAATTCTTTCTAAACAGACAAATTTCAAATTTTGATAATACAATGTAACAATGCATGGACATACTTATTTCTTGAGTGTCTTTCAAATAGCTGATTGATGACAACAATAACCAATAGGGAGCTACTAAAAAATATCTACCTTCACTTTTATTATATCTCTGACACAAGAAGAATTCCAATCAATTTTTTAAAATCATACATTGAAGTGCCTAATGTTTTCTCAAAATAATATTTAATTAATTAGGCACACTTGAAATTTTATTTCTTTCTTTATTTGTATTCTACCTTTATCATTTCTACAAATAACTGAAAGTGGCAAACATATCCAACACACTTTCCTCCTTTTATTACCCCCACAACAATAACTCTGTGAGATGAGTGGGCTGAAAGAGAGTGACTGGCCCCAGATCACTCACTTGGCTTTCATGGCTAAAGCGGGACTTAGAACTCACAATCTACCATTTTCTAACCTGGTGCCTTAACCACTTGATCAAATTTTTAAAATGTGAAAATAGTGATTTTCCTAACTAGGTAATTCTAATTCTCTTATTTCATTTCTTTTATGTTGTCCAAATTTTTGTAATTTTCTTTCGTTTTTTTAGTAACATTAAATTGTAAATTTAGTTTCAGTAACATCCTCCCCCAATAAACAAATTTTCCAGAGATTTGGATTGTTAAAGCTCATAAAGTGTGTGTGTGTGTATAAAACAAAAGTTTTAACTGAATATATTAGCACTTAGATATTTTGGATAAATTGCATTCATTTTGTAATCTTTCAAAAGTTTTAATGGCATAATGATTGGCTCTAGATCACCATAATATTTATATGAAACCTGTATATTTGAGAATAAGAATAAGATTGTAGGGGTTTCTTTCATAAGACATTAATTAACTATTAATTCATTTTTTAAAAGTGTAAGCAACATAGGCAATCTCTCAAAATGTTTATTACTCTAATGACCATGTTCATTTGCACTATATTTACATTTCCCATATATTTGGGAATATTTTTTAAGAGTCATTTAAAAGATCTAAAATTTGATTTGCACGTGATAACAGTTTATATTTACATTCTGATCCATTAAGGTCCTTAACCCATCACTGAATCATCACATTTTGATTACATAGCAGATAATTCCATTTGTAACCACCCAAGCAGAGAGATTAAAATAATAAATTTTTATATGTAACAAATTCTGAAGGATATCCAATTTTCTTTACTTGTACTTTTCTTTACTTGTAATTTTCACCATATCAAAAGCTTTTTCTGCATCTAGTGATATTAAAATGTCTGTTTCATTTGTTCTAGAATGGGCTTATAATAGATCTACTATTTGTTGTTACTAATCCCTCCTGCAAAAAACATCAATATTTTATTTCATGGAGATTGAGTAGAACCAGATTGTAATTAAAATTCAAATATTCTGAAATCCAAAAACAAGAGATTGTATTGATAGGCAATAATATGAAAAGACTAAACTTCCATAATGTTACACAATGTAAACGTAAATCAAAGGTAGGGGAATCATGGATAGCCAGTAAAGACCACAAAGTGTCTATTTTCCCTATAGAGAGACTCCTTTCTTGCTGAATTCTACTGAGTTTGTATAAATTGAAAACAGTGCTATCATAAATGTTCCAATTTTGATAGCTCCAACATGCATTCGCAGCTATATAAAATATATGAATGTGGTAAAGATGCATTTGTTAATGTGCACTTAATATTTTTTGATAACAAAAGTGTGTCTGTACATGAAATATGTACTGTATAATCAGTCTCAAATTACAGATAAAAACAAAATCTATTGGGTGGTCAGATCAGTCTTCCAGTCCACAGGCAGAATGCTATACATTTGAACTTTAGTAATTTTCAATCCAGTCATTTTGCTAATATTGATACAGTCTTGAAATTTTTTCTTCTGTCTTTATTTTCATAGGAGGCAAGCTAAAATTAATTGGGTTTGGATTCATTGCTTCCAAAGGGGTATATTTTTATATATTCTTATATAATAGTGCTATCCTGAATCATTAAGCAAATACTATTTACCAGTGCATCTTCCCAAAGTGTACACCATATATCCATGATGGCGAACCTATGGCACGCTGCAGGAAGTGGCACACAGAGCCATTTTTCTTGGCACGTGAGCTGTCACCCAACCCACCTGCAGCTGCACATCCACCCCAGCTGGTGTTTGCGCCTCCAGTGCGCATGCGCCCAATTCAGGGGACCCAACTGGTCTTCAGAGCTTTCTTGCACATGGGTGTGTGTTTGCGCATGGGCGCGAGAGTACTGGGGTGCAGTGCGCACATGCGCAGACAGCATTTGCATGTGTGCATTGCACACATGAAAACCATGCACATGTGCAGATGGTGCGATTGCGTGCACAGCACACGGTGGGGGCACACACGAAAGCTGTGCGTATGCACAGATGGTGCAGTTGCACGGCCAGCACATGGGGAGGAGCCACACGTTAGCGCGGATGGTACACGGCACCCAAAGCATGCGAAGCACGCGAAGCACATACCTGTTCGGCACTTGGTGAGTAAAAGGTTCGCCACCACTGCCTTATATATTTCAGTGGGTGAAAGACAGGCAACGAGACAGACATATTCTTGGTGAAACAAATAAACATAATTATATTTGACTGGAATGACTTTTTTTATTACTTTTTGTGGCAGGTGTCACCCCAAGAGGACAACTTGGCCTTGTAGAAATCATCCAGGAATATATTCATCAAGATGAGATATATGAGGCAATTAACATCTTAAATGGAATGAACTGGAATACAGTGGGTCATCACTGTTATGTAAGCCTATGTGCTATAATAAACTACCTTCTTCGACAAAAGCTGACACACATTACAGAAGGTTTGTTGGGCTATGGCTGATAAATATCCCTACCTTTCAATTAATGGTAGAACTTTAATATTAATCAACTTGAGCAGATTATACTTAAAACATTGCAAGATTATGCATATGCTGATCTTTATGCTAAAAACAACTTGTGTTACAGAATCAATGTTTCAGTGTAAATATATCAGTATAGTGTGGGGTTGAAGGTGCTGACCTAGAAACCAGGATACTTTGAGTTCTGGGCCTCCCTTAGGCATAAAAGCCAGTTGAATGACTTTTGGCCAGTCATTCTGTCCGCCTAGCCTACTGCACAGGCTTGTTGTGGGGAAAATAGGAGGCAAGAGATTATATTAAGAACGCTGACACCTTGAATTTTATGGTAAAAAGTAGGACAAAAATCTAATAAATTTTGTTATTGGTTCATTACACAGTCAGCCAGATGTTTAGACCAGATTTGGCATTTTTATCTACCTGTCCAGTCCTTCCAAAGGATCTGGGATAGGCAGATGTTGTTTGATGGTGTTAAAGGTTACAAGTAAAGCTGTCTTTTGCAATTGACTGGTGGTGATTTTACAATGCTGATGGTGTTCAAGTGATCCAGATGTTTTGGGATTGCATCCAAGCATCACTATTGGTACTACCTTTGCTTTCTTTTGCCACTGTCATTCTACTTCTATTTGCAAGTCTTTGTATTTTGTGGTTTACTCCAGTTCATTCTGTTTTATTCTGCTGTCTCCAGATATTGCAATGTCCACTTACCAGACTTTTGCTTATCAACAATGTTAATCTGGGATGTCTTGTGGTAGATGCTTGTCTATTGGAATTCTAAAGTCCCAAAGGACTTTAGCATCTTCATTTTCTATTCTTTGTCTTTTTTGAGGTCCCATTAGTTCTTTTCCCAGGATTTGAATAAGAAAAATAATAAGTAGGAGAGCCTCATGGCTTGTCTCTGCATGTAAGTACAACCAACCAGGCACCAAGCGCTTCCCTGGAGAAAAGGAAAATGCTAGAGGATTTTTAAACAGCACTTTTTTTAAAAAAATTGCTTGCTGTTGAAACATGTGTGAAGGCCATGAAGCTGAGACCCACAATCCTTATGCTATAGAAGAAGAAGCACTTATCATGACATTCTACATCACTGACATAAAATTCTATGTAAGATTAACATTTATTCTTAGAAAATTTATAGGAATAGTGAAAAGTGGAAAGATTTGGGACCTTTTGGTTTTAATATGCATGTTTTATAAATAAATTTTTGCTTCTATGCTTTTCCCAGTATGCAATATATTAGATATGTAATTTATGCCATTTGAGATTTATTCTGAAGAAACCTAACCAATCTGTCATGGTAATTTATTTACCAGATGTGATGTCAACCATGGGAAATCAAGAACGATACAAGTAAAAGCTCAAAGCAGTTTCTTTTTTGCATGTTTGCCCATAGACAAAATTTTGCCAAACTGAAACATACTCTTCATAATTATCTGATAAATGCTGACTAGAAATTAGGGAGGATCCCTCCTAGTCAGTTTCCTACATAGCAATGATTCAAGGCTGAAATTTCTCTTTACTTTCCTCTCTCATACTCAGTGCCAGATTTGTTTTAATTTAATTTAATCTACCGGTAAATTTAAATTTATTTTAACCATTTTGGTTATCTTCAAGATCTTCAGAGAACTAGATCTTTTTAATGCTTCTTTTAAATAGATTTTTTAAAATAAAACTATAATTGCAATAGTATTTAATCCAAGATCATGTAGCCTGGGTTAATTCAAAAGTGTGAAATTTGTAAGGAAAAGCAGGAACTTCATGGCAGTAGTGTTTATTAAATTATTAAATTATATTTCCACAGATCATGTATGGGCCTTCCTTTGAAGTATCTATGACTGTCTAAAATTTTATTTGTCCATCTGCCTTAATAGGCAGGCCTATATCTAAAATCAAATTGTATCCACAATTTTTTTTTAAAAGGAAGGCATTTAATACATCATTCATTTAAGTAATTTGCATGGCATAACACTAACATTGGTTAAAGCTGTGCATCACTGGTTGCATTTATCTACTTCTAAATAATAGTACAAAAGATGGGGAAGACAGAGTGGGGGGAATAGCCAAAATATAAATATATTCAAGAATGTAATCCTAGGCAAAATTAATCAGAAAGAATATTGTTTAATTTTAAACTTGTGCAACATTTCACCTTTATTCAAGCTAGATAGGTATCCAGAGAATACAAGTTGTGTGAAAGTCCTGTCTGCAGCGGCTTTCGCCATACTTTATATTATTCCTATTTAGTGGTAATTGTAGTTCTGGTGCTTCAAAAAAGTTGGGATTAAGGAGCTAGAAAGATTCATTCCATTCCATAAACAGTATAATGATACCTTAAAGCAAAATACCTCATCATCTTGCAATCTGCCATGGGAAACATGCTGAAAACCCAAATATTGGCTATTTATGAAAGAGTTGAGGGAAAAAGTATTCCAAAGAAGGCCAAGGAATTGCTGCCAAATAATATTGCTGAATAGTCATGAGTCCCTGATGCCATTGGAGGCACAAATGTGAATGATTTGTAGTTGTTCATCAATCTTAATAAATCTAATAATAATGTTATCTTTATTTAATCTGTATATTTTGGCAGAAGGGAAAAGAGCATACTGGCAAGTTTCCCTTTTTTCTGTCCTACAGCAGGTGGCACGAGCTACCATTGTAAAACTTCCAATATTTCAGAAAGGAAGCAACATCCATATTGTACATTATAGTAAAGCTGGAAGTTTGCACTTAGATACTCTATTATCATGGCATATATGACTCACCTTGTAACTATTAAAGCCTGCCAACCAATACTGAAAGTAGAAAAACATTCCTACAGTTATCAATGCTTCTTTTAGAGGTGCTGAAATACCTACAGAGGTCAAGTTGCTTCCCCCAGGGGCTAACCTTGGAAAAGATTTTTACCTGTGGGACAATGGAAAAGTTCTGACAAGCTAAGTCAGAACAGGAAGGATAAAAAGGAGACTGCTTTTTACTAGGAAAAACTTTGCTTGAAGTTTTTTGCATAGTCATTAATCATTCTTGCCACGTTAAAATAATTAGATATCCATTTATTCTAAGATACTGACAGATTTTTGTTTTTGCTCCAGATCATCATAGGTGCTGCCTGAAATGATTGTTCATACATAGATTTGTTTCTGTACTGTCACTTTTTTAAAAAATGTATTCTTCCGAGCTGTAGGTTCATTTGAAAAGCTTGGCTGCCTGAAGACATAAGCCCATATTTCTTGAAGGGAATGTACTCCATTTGTTTAACTGCTGCTGTGTTTGAACTCCACAGCACAGCTGGAGGCAACTCTTGGGACATTTTATGCACCAACCCGACCTTTGTCTGAGACAACTATTTTGGGATACAGGGATCAGATCAGCAGATATGCACGAAGGTTCTTCCACCATCTGCTCAGGTGAACAACTATCCTGACTTTTACCAATTTCAAAGAATTTATACTGGGATTTCCATAAAAAATTATTAAAGCATTTAACATATTTTCTAGAAGACACACAAACTTTCAGTGATATTTTGGCTCATTTGAACTAGTCCTTTTTCAAACATGTTCAGGTGCTATATATATTTGCTCTGTTTTCAGCGTACTAAGATTTTGTATCTCACTTATTTGTTTGACGTGGTTTATTTGTCATTTTAATTGTCAAGCAACTCTAAGTGGCTTACAACCTTACTGTTCATAAACAAGATTAAAATAGCCAAAAATTGTAAAAGATTATTTAAATAAATATTCCTATGCCAGAAAATCATAAAACCCATATAATAATATATTACAAAGGACAAATGCCTGTGAAATCATTTTCATGGTCATTATTTAAATGACATTATGTGCTGTATATGGGCTGCCTTTGCAGATTACCCAGAAATTTCAGTTGGCAATTTTGGGTTCCTCATGGTTGGCCTGTGTTATACCATTGATATGCAAGCTGTATTGCCTTCCAGTTTCTTTCTGGGTGCAATTCAGAAGCCTGATTTCACCTTTAAAGCTCTATATGGCACAGGACTAGGTTATTGTGGGATCAACCATTCTACTGAAGACACTTCCCATCCTACTAGACTGGATAGGGTGGATTCACTTCAACTCTCTTTAATGTTGACATCTGTGATACCTAGGAAGCGAGCCTTTTCCATAATGTAACCTTCTCTGTGAACAGACATCTTCCTTAGATATGTTGTTGTTAGTTGCGAAGTCGTGTCCGACCCATCGCAACCCCATGGACAACATTCCTCCAGGCCTTCTTGTCCTCTGCCATCCTCCCTAGATATAGAAGATCCCTATTCTTCTTGTCATCCCAAAGACTGTTAAAATCTGACTCTGTTCTTAGGTCTCAGGTCAGGATAGGAGGCAAGCCCAGCATATTTTTGTATTTTTCTTTAAGTGGGTAATGTTATGACAGTTGTGATGTGATAGAATGTTAATCTTATGTTTGTATTATTTGTGTATTTGCTTGCTAGTCACGTAGGGTTGTTATACAGCTGGTGATATACTTATTTTCAAATAATGAAATAAATACCACTAATCACAAAACCTAGAAAAATTATTCAGTTACTATAATGTGGTCCCTTTTCTACTCAAGTAGAAAAACAATGAATGAAAGGTAATGTATATAAATGCACACACAATTCCTTTTTAGACTTAATTTCATAATAATCTTTACTTGTGAATACTCTTTGTGAACTTTCAAAAGATTCACAAAACTAAGCATGTATTGCTTTGTATCGCTTGATTCTTTTTTATGTAATTCAGAGCAGTTTATATCTGGTGAATCTCTGGGCTTTTACATTTACTGAACGTGAAAGATTACTGCAACATCTTCTTCCTAAAGGAAAAATAAATACACAGTATATGAAAGGCATAAAAGTATTGATAGCTTAACTACAGTTAACTTAGTTGACAGTTCCCTAATTAGGGAAAAGAAAAAAAGAAAGACAAAAGACCTCATTCAGCAATAAAGTGCCCTTGTAAGAGTGGTTTGCTTTAGCCATTAGCAAAGTACATCTCTCTTCCCTGCTGAGATAGCTGATATCCTTAAATATTCTAGATGAGAACAGTTTTTTAGAAAATATTTTGAAAGAGAAAATTAATAAATGTAACGTTATTAGGAATTTCCCTCATTATAAGAACATATTCCTTTACTACTGCTTTTGACTATGTCAGCTGATGTCATCACTGTATGAAAATATGGTTGGTTTAAGCAGTTAAGAATGGTTCCTAAATATTAATGTAACATGTATCTGACGGTGTTCGGGGGCAGATGGTAGTTTTGAAGCACCTAAATTATGCTTTATACCCAAAAGCTAATTAAGAGTTTGTTCAGGTGTTAGTATCAAAAATAACTTTCAGGAAAAAGATTTAACAAGAATCCTGAAATCTGTTAATAGACATCCTTTTTGGAATACATTTTAGCTTCTAATCACTTTGTAAAGGTAATCAAAATGTATTGGTGTCAGTATGACTCCAAGACAAAGTAAAAAGGATGGTTTGTTCTGTAAAACTAAAGATAGGGACTCTGACATAACCGGATGTTAAGTTTCTGTTTTGTTTTGTTTTAAGATTTCATCCAGTAAAATATTCAAATTTTTCATTCTACAATATTTTTAGGTCAAGGTAGTTAAAATGATAGTTTTTATTTTGTTTAAATATTTTGATGCTATATGGCTATGTAAGCCAAGTATTCTATGCAGTTCACATTGTAATCAAAACTAGGTAAAATAGAAGGGGAATATAAAGAAACAATTATGTACATTTCAAAACTGATTGTACTTGCAGAGAATAAGTTGTACAGCACTGGATTCTGAAGAGTTTGTGTTTTTGAAGACAATGGGGGAGTCACATATCATTTTCTATTTCCCACCTTCAAAGTGACAAATGCTTCCCAATTTCATTGCCCCTTCCTTCCTTCCTTCCTTCCTTCCTTCCTTCCTTCCTTCCTTCCTTCCTTCCTTCCTTCCTTCCTTCCTTCCTTCCTTCCTTCCTTCCTTGTAATGAAAGCTCTAATGGCTTTAAATCAGAATGTCAAATGCTTGAATCTTAGAATCTGATCATAAATGTTCTAATCTACTGCACTTTTTTAAATTGTTGGGCCATCTTATTTGCACAATAGCAGCAGGAACTCATGTTAGCCTATATTTGTCTCTGCTATAGGGCTGTCTTAGGGTGTAGACATGCTGATAAGTTTACTCAATGCAGCTTTCAAGAATATTTTTACATAATCACTAGAGGGCTAAAGCTAGAACAGACAAAAGGCCAAAGACAATTAAAGTATCATAGCTGATTTTTAACGTACAAGGTTGAGCAAAATAAATGTGAAACAACAGGTGTCACAAGTTATTATCAGCATTTTTAATTAACCCTTAACCATAGACGTACTATTTTGACTACGCTATTACAGTCATAATGACCTCAGTAACAAAAAGACATTCGATATTTTCATGGTTGGATCTAAAAATTGATGTATAGAGCAGTAAACCAAAAAAGGCATTGATCTCTATCAAATCCATATTGTGCAGGTCACTTTTTGTTTCTTCATCCTTAATCTTTCTTCTCTAATTTTTACATTGGTCCACTGAATGATGGCAATTTTCTAAATTTCTTTAGAAAACAATAATTTCCAAATCTCTAGGGGAGTAGGTGAATTTCCAAAATTTCTAGCTGCTGGCTGCAGTCTAAGTAATTGCACAACCATATTGTGACTAGCAGTTCTGGATCTATTGCTTCCAAAAGGTGCAGAAAACCATTTGAATTTGTTCTTGCCATATAAATTATTGCACGCCATAGATTATATCAGGTCATCAATTTCATTGGGAGCTTCATCATTGCTGATGTCAGAATCAGTGGTAGCGGGAGATTCCTCATCTTCCATTACAAAATTTTCATCACAATCCAATTCCACTTCACTCAGATCACTCTCTGCTTCTCCATACCATTTTAGAACAGTTTCTTTGAAGTTTGGATCACCAAATTGCATTCTTTTTGGCGGAAAACCTGGCCCCAACATTATTTTAAAAAATATGTTAACAAAGATCTGCAATCAAAATGGCATAGGACCTGGATATCTTCGAGACCGTCTGCTGCCACCAACGACCTCCCACCGACCGGTGCGTTCCCACAGAGAGGGCCTCCTCAGGGTGCCATCGGCCAAGCAATGTAGACTGGTGGCCCCCAGGGGGAGGGCCTTCTCTGTGGGGGCACCTGCCCTCTGGAATCAACTGCCCCCAGAGATACGAAGAATTCAAGACCTCGGTGCCTTCCGCCGTGCCCTGAAGACATTTCTTTTTCAGCAAGCCGGGCTGGCTTAACACTTTTTAAATGTTTTTTTAATATGTTTTGTTATTGTTTTTTAACTTTGGGGCCAAACTTATATATATCTTTTTAAATTGTTTTTAATGTTTGTATCTATGTTTTTTACTTTGGCTGTACACCGCCCTGAGACCTTCGGGAGAAGGGCGGTCTATAAATTTGAATAATAAATAAATAATAATAAATAAAATGACCAAAACTCAAATTCAAATGCCACTACAGAAAACTCCAAATAACAAACGCGATGCTGCATACACTCTTATTGTTGGGAAAACAAAAGCTATTCACAACTGGAATGGTCCATTTCTAAAAATAGGGGTGTTCTGAACATTTTGGAAAACTATTGCAGTCACTATGACCACAGGTCTGTGGTTATGGGTTAACATCAGTTTTCAAAGCAAAGTATTTTGGAAGGTTGTGATGGATTGTGCCTATATAGAAAGATAAAAGGTAAACAGAAGTTTCTGAATAGTAAGATGTTGGGAAACTAAGAGGCAGTGAAAGTTAAGAATTATTTGTAGCTCTTATAGAATCAAAGACAAGCAATTTAAGCAATGTCTCTACACACACACAAAGCATTAGAGGGAAATGAGAATGATATGATGTAGAAATGGAAAATGAAATAAGGATCTACTGACAAGAACAAAGCCATCTTAGTTAAGATCAGTTGCAATTACTGAAATGAATACATTACCCATGATAAATTATTTGTTGGAAATGATTCCTATTATAGTCTCAGAGACATTTGCAAGAATGACAAGGAATTTGTCAACAAATTTATATGGAGTGGGAAAAGACACAGATTAAACTAAAAATGTTATAAGTTTCAAAAGATGATGATCTTGCTCTTCCAAATTTTAAGATATAGCAAAAAGCATGTTTGTTGTCATGGATAACAGAGTGGATAAAATTCTCTAACAGCAAAATGTGAATACTGGAAGGAGTCAGCCTAATTAATGGACCTCATAGTATATGTGGTATAGAAGCACAAAGGAGGATAAAAATTTAAAAACAAATGATCCCAAAGTTTATTTTAAAAAATGGAATTTTACCAAGAAAATAATAAGCCTAACAATTTCAACATTAGTTTTTCCTTCAAATGCCTTCCATGTTGGAGATAATTACAGTAAGAAAAAATTAATTACCAACGCAGACATGATTCACTCTGATCCAAGGAATAGATTAAAGACACAGTAAGAAATATTTTGTGAAGGCTGCAAATATATCATAGCTGGAAGGATACAATCTAACCTTAAGAATGAGGGAGAGACATTTTTTAAAAAAGGCTAAATTTGAAATGTATCTACAAATAATTATCATTTATCAAGGTGCACTCCACAACAGGGTAGACTCTTTCTTAGATACAATGCAGAAACAGAACAAATAGCTGGATGAGAAAATGGAAACAAAATGTCAAAGACACGATCAGTACACAGCAATGGGAATAATTATGGATCAAATCCATAAAATTTACTCCAAGCTATAGCTTAAAATAAAATTGGTACAAAGTGTTTTACACTTGTACGCAATCCATCAATAATCTCTCAGATTGATAAATGATACAATAATAAATGTTGGAAAAGAACATTTTACAGACAGTCCTCCACTTACAGCCACAATTGATCCTGGAATCTTGATCACTGAGCAAAGCAGTCAAAATCTTGCAGCATGCTGGGGGATTGGACCTCAAATCCAACATCCCCTCTCCTTGCAACCTTCCCTGTCTGCTTCCCCATTGACTTTATGGAGAAGCCGGCACAGAAGAATGCAGATGGTGATCACATGATCTCAGGGCACTTGGCAACTGATAGTAAATGTGAAGAGGTTGACAAGAACCTGAAATGCAGTCATGTGACTGGGGAAGGCTAGTACAATGCTTTATGATGGTCAGAAGTATGTTATGTTAAGTGCCTGTTCTGAGCCCATTATGACTGCAAAAGGTCATTAAATGACCGTTATAAGTCAAGGACTACCTGTACTACACATGTAAAGAAAACTCAAAAATATTAAATCAAAATACACATAATGCAGTGCAGAAAATTTTGGAAAGTAAATTTGAAATAAAATCACAATATTTCTTATTAGGTATAAAGCCCTCAAGTATCAAATATAAATTTTGCCCCGTGGTGAAAAAAAATACAGTTCTGATAATATCTGATTGGGAACTTAAACTTGGAGAATATGCAGCAATGGCAAAATTAACTGTATATATCCACAACTGAAGTTTAAACAAATGGAAAGCAAGAATAGCATGTGTGAGAATAAATGGAAGGTTTAGCAAATAGCTCAGCACTATAAAACAAGAAGTTAAAAACAAGGGTGTTTTAATATTTGTTTGACTGTTTATTATGGACAGATTTGTGATAAAAATGTGATGATATAACATTAAGTACTGGTTAACAATGTGATGTGGTTTTGCATGTACATTTGTATGTAGATGATACTATGCTACTGGCTGACAAGCTGAATGGTATTTGGTTAATGTTAGATTGTAAGATACAATGAAAATTATGAGTCTGAAAATTAATGTATCAAAGATTAAGTTAATTGTGTTTGACAGCTTCAATTGGTGCAGAATGCAGCAATATGAGTAGTAAGCAGCATTGGTTACTCAGCATACGTAATACCACAACTTTGTGATCTGTTGCCAGTGTCTCAGGACCAGGTTACTTGGAGTTGGTTCTACCCCTCAGAACAAGCACGGCAAAATAGGCATACTTCATGCCCTGTTAGCTAAAGGAATTCTGTTTAGTAAGGACCAGAATTAAAGTGTTATAATATTGCAAAATATAGTTAATGAAACTTCATTTTTCATTTTGTACCTCCATAAATGTTGTTTCTGACCCAACAATTGCTAATAGAATTTATAAGGAAAGCGTTTCTTATGAATAATTATATTATGCTTAAGAAATGGGCTAGATGCCTAGAAACTGAATGAAAGAGTAAAGTATTAAATTGAAATATTAAACAGAATTGCTGAATGAAAAATGATCATGTAAGCCTTGAAATAAATGTCTGGGAGATATAGTTGTTTTTACCTATTTGCATCACTTATTCATAGGCTTAGATATAATTGCTTGTTGTTAAAATGCTCGAATGAAATTCAGTTGCATGTGCATTTTAAAGTTTGAAGAAATTAGAAGTTCATTTTATTCCACTTAATTACATGTTTTTTCCAATATTCATTATTCTCATTGTCTTCCTTTGGAAGGATTTAAAAATATATTTTGCAGTAATACATCATCCTTCATTTGATTTCTTTATGAGGCAGGTTCTGAGAGTTCTTCATTTCTAAAGAAATGTTTGTAAATCATAACTGTGGCATAGCTCTTCTCCCACAGATGATTTTTTTAAAACTGCATTCTTACTGAAGAGAAGCAAGGGAAGAAATATAGCAGTTTTCCTTTTTATCAGTCCAGCACAAGAAATTTACTTACACGGCCAATGAGCATGACTAAGACAGCTTATTGGTAGTTACTAGTTAATAAAAATATTTTTGACTCTTAGTATGATTTTCTTCTACATTTAAGTAGAATATCAATCAGTATTTCATGAAAATTTCATTATTACTTTATTAGCCTTGTGCTTATTTTATTTTATTGGTGTTACATTAATTTGGTTTTTTTCCTTCAAAAAGCTTGGCCAGTAACGAAAAAGCAGATGGAAAAGTGACAAGAACTGGCAAGGTTCTGATTTAGCCTCAGTGAACCTTAGATTGTACTGTATGAATTATCAGAATTTTGTTTGCCTTAAAGGAAAAGGGTGGAATAGACCATGAGCAAAACGAAAAACATGGTAAAGCCAGGAGGATTAACTCCACAACGAGAAATTCCCATACTCGGTTATCTAGAAAATAAAAAAAAATACAGTATGCATAAAAAAAAACTTGCTTGAGTAGAATTGGATGGAATGGAAGAAAATTTGAAATATAGTAGTATCTGAAAATATCACTAAGCAATGCAATCATAAAGCATGATGTCACATGATTGCATTGCTTAGTGACAGCAATCCTGCCAGTTTACTGCTTCATTAAGAGAGCATTGAGGATTGTTAGACAAGGATCTTCTTGCAACTTCCTACCAGCTTCCAACAAGCAAAGTCAATGGGGAAGCTAGAAGGGAAGGTCTCAAGTCACTCCTGTAAATTGCTCCCACTCCCTTGGCATTTTCTCCTGAGGACTCCAGCTATGGAGTACCAGATTGTAGGAATCTGGTACTCTGTAGCACATGCCTGCCTGTGCTGACGCGGTCACCAGCAATCACTCCTGCACCAGCACCAGCTATCCCTGGCTCTACCATGCTGATACTATGCCAACTGGTGTACCTTGCCTCACCTGGCAGCAGCTGGACTTGCCATGCCTCAGCAGCTTTTTACCTGCCCACTAGCCTGCTTGGGAGCTGCTTGGGACTTTCAACTTCCCGCTTATTTTTTTGTATGTTCCGAGAAGCAACCAGCATGATCTTCTGACCAAAAGAGTCCAAATCCAGTTAATTTCAATTAGCTGACCCTTAAGATGTCAATGTGTAATAAATTCATTTCATCTTTCACTCTGTTGAGCTTTTTCATGTTTGTGTTTCTTATGTTCCATATTGCCACTTTTGTTCTCTTTGCAGCTTTGGGTTTTCTTTTCTTAGAGGTAATATCAGAAACTAGGCATCCTGCAGATTTTTACCTTGCCATGTCATAAATATCATTAGCACCATTATCACTTATAACCTTTCATTTAGTGTTCGAAGTTACAACAGCACTGAAAAAAGTGACTTATGACCCTTTTTCACATTTTCAACCATTGCAGCATCCCGTGGTCACGTGATTAAAATTTGGATACTTGGCAACTGGCCTGTATTTATTATGGTTGCAGTGTCCCACGGTCATATGATTACCTTTTGCAACCTTCTGACAAGCAAAGTCAGTGGGGAAGTCAGATTCACCTAATATCCATAATACTAACTTAACAACTGCAGTGGTTCACTTAACAACTGTGACAAAAGGTTGTAAAATGGAATAAAACGTAACAACTGTCTTGCTTAGCCATAGAAATTTTGGGGTCATTTGTGGTTGTAAGTTGAGTGTAGCTTGTACACTGTAGCTTGTTGAGTGTCATCCAATCTCAAGGGTCCATCTTCCGTAATTATATTGTCATTCACTTTATCTTGTCTGCCCATGCGGCTTTTTTGGTAAAATTCAGAAGTGTTCTACCATACTCTTCTATTGCACACTTTGAAAATAGGCTTTTTTTGTTCTCATTAAAGTGAACCAACATAATTTTCCTGTATTACTTCTTCTTACTATATGTCGGTGTCTGCTTTAGCTGAGCATCTACGAAGACTTTCATACATGTTGAAACACAATGGCAAGAGTTCTGGGAGAATATATCATAAATAGAACTGTATCTCTTTCACTTTGCAAAAATATTTCAGTGTAGAGAAGTGCTGTGGTTTTATGTTGAATACAAATCTGTCCTGCTTATTTTATGAAGAGTAGTAACTTTTGGTGGAAAAATGATCAGAGATAGAGGTGATGGGGTTCTAAGGCTCTTTGTTTGCCCTGAAGCTTGCTTACATTCACTTACAATGTAAAAAGAGGTGAATTTGGAATCAGACATCAATGTGTAGGGTACCTCCCTTCCCTTGTCTCTTACTCTTGTCTTGATTTGATGGGGGCGGGGAGGCTTTGAGTCAATTTCGATTCCTGGCAACTCCCTGGACACGTCCCTGCACTTTTCATGGCAAAATTTCAAAAGTGGTTTGCCCTTGCCTATTTTCTAGGATGAAGAGAGAAAGTGAGTGGCCCAAGACCACCCTGCTGACCCTAGTCCCCAAAGTGGGACTAGAATTCATGGCTGTGGTTACATATTTGTGTCTGCTACATGTAATTAATACCATATATTTCAATAATTTTTGTTTCTGTTCATTCTATAGGCACCAAAGATTTGAAAAGGCCTTTCTGCTAGCAGTTGATATAGGTGCCCGTGACTTATTTATGGTAAGTTATGCTTGAAGAATTTTCAGTACTATTGCTGCTATTGGATGAATTTTGATACTTTTGAGGCACATTAACCAGGACTGAAGTAATCTATAATATTTTTAAAGTATAAACTTATAGTTCATAAGATAGTGACAGTTCTAAGATCAAACAATGATCTGTAACAATCATTCTCAACGTCTATGGAGATCCTCGGTCATCCAGGTCATGGTTGTCCCAAAGATGCTTTTTTTTCCCCATATTTTTTTTTAAAAAAAAAACATAAACATAAAATACATCTTTTAAGAACAAAGTCTTGATCCAGTCATGTATAGGTACATTCGCTTAAAATTGTTTAACAATTCTTTCCGGCATTTCTTCCATTATATCTTTTAGCATAAAAATCAAAACACGAATTTTTAACAAATATTCTAACATCTTAATCTAAATATTTACCTTATTATTTTATCACCACAAATCTTAATTTCCAAATAAACACAACTCTATTTTTATTTCCATTTATAAATCAAATTTCCATCTATCCTCCTTCATCCCTAGACCCATTTCATCACATCTTTAAATCTTAAGCTCTATTAATTTACACCTAATTTTCTTAAACTTATCATCTATTACACTTTTCATTTTACACAGAATCATTTCATACTCATCTCACTTTATTTTAATTATCTTCCAACTTATTCTTCTTCCCCCCCATATCTATTATTTTAATCCAGCATTTCCAGCATTTTCATATTTGAACTAATATCCAGCATATTCTCCTCTCCTTATCTCCAGCTATTATTTGGTTAATTCCCAGCATATTTTATTTTGGCTGTTTTCCAGCATATTCTCCTCCATACCTCCAACTATCATTTGGCTGATTCCCAGCATATTTTATTTTACCTATTTTCCAGCATATTCCTCTCTATTTTACTATCACACCCCCCCAAAAAAAAGAGAGAGAGAAGAAGAAAAAAGAAAAGAGAAACGGGAAAAAAACCCATCTCCATCTATTATTTTAGCTGATTCCCAGCATATAACTATTTCCAACATATTCATTAAGCATTTTCTTAATTTTACTATTTATCTCTGTGTAATCCCCATTTTATTTTGCCTTCCACGTATATCTTAGTTGATCATATTTAATCATATTATCATTCTCAACTTTATCTGCAATATAACATTGAAATTTAACTCTTACATCAAACATTTCCCCTTATATATCAATAAAATTTCTTGGATTCTTCTCATATTCATTTTATCAATACTATCCACCTTTACATTATTTTTAATTTTAATCACATTTTCATATTTTCTATCCTTATACATTTATAAACACCTCCTTTTTATAATTAATATTAATCTAAGCATTACATTTCCATTTTTAATCAAACTATTTTTATATTCTTTTATATATATTTTATTTCTTCATTTCCTTGTCTATCAATATTTAATCCATTTCAAATTGATCTCTAATTTAGTTCTCAAAGTGTCATTTAAACTCTTTTTGTTACTTCTTTTTCAATATAAAGTATATCAACTTTCCTCCTTTTGTTCCTGAGCCATTTTCTTTTGTTCCTACGCCAATTAGTAACAGTTATAAAAGTTCCGTTGTATTTCCTCTTTCTTTCCACCGAAAAGGCCATCTGGAGACAAAGAAAAAGCCTCCAACACCAAAGTCATTTGTAGTTTCAATATTGGTAGTTTCAAAGTATTCCACAGCAACCAGCAAGTTACATTGTTTCTTTTTTGAGGCAGGTGTTACTTTGCAATCCACACTTTCGCTTAGTCACGCCGGTATCCATTTTATTACACTTCTTTAACAATCCAAATTGACTCTCTTCTTCTTTTGAGGTTAAAAGTATTGAATCCGTACCTTTTTCTTTAAAGTCCAATTCTAATTTTAAAAAGTTTTTTCCAATCTTATTCAACATGCCTCGATGTTTAATTGTTCCAATTAGATCTATCCCAAAATACTTTTCTAGCGGGTCTTTCCTTCCTGGAATTATTTTTCAAAATCTTCAATGCCCCTCTAATCCACAGCCACTGTTTTAAGGCTAGGGGTCTTACAAATACCAATCATTGCTCTTGCGTTGTTATAAGCCTAGGTTGGAGTCACTCACCCGGCTTCAAAGAGCTTCATTCTTTCAGTCTTTCCTCCTGCTCATCTCTTAGTTCAGTTTCTCCCAGCTTCGTGGCAGCCGCATGGCTGCCGTCCCCCGCTGCCGACTCACAGAGGGTTCCCTCTGACCTCCAAGGAACTTTTTTTTTTTCCAATTTCTATACCGCCCTTCTCCCTGAGGACTCAGGGCGGTGTACAGCCAGAATTAAAAACATGCAGTACAAATATTAAAAAACAATTAAAAGATATATAAATTTGGCCCAATTAAAAAACACTACCAATTAAAACATTTAAAAAATTTTTTCTTAAGCCAACCTGGCTTGCTGGAAAAAATGGGTTTTAAGGGCACGGCGGAAGGCACTGAGGTCTTGGATTCTCCTTATCTCTGTGGGCAACTGATTCCAGAGGGTAGGTGCCCCCACAGAGGAGGCCCTCCCCCTGGGGGTCACCAGCCTGCACTGTTTGGCTGATGGCACCCCGAGGTGGCCCTCTCTGTGGGAGCGCACGGGTCGATGGGAGGTCGTTCGTAGCAGCAGGCGGTCTCGAAGATAGCTAGGCCCTATGCCATGGAGTGCTTGCCTGTTCCTCTCAGTCTTCCGAGGCGCCCCTCTCCTTCCCCTGTCCATAGACCCATTGGCGGCGGTTCGGCAGTTGGGGTTTTCACGGGACTCATCAGAGCCCACTATTTCCCCGACTGTCTTGCCGCTACGTCAAACCGGAAGTCCCAAAGATGCTTTTTTGAAGAGGCCCCTGGACGTTCTGGTTTTTCTTTGAAGACGTTTCACTTCTCATCCAAGAAGCTTCTTCAGCTCTGACTGGATGGTGGGAGAATTGAAGGATTTATACTCTTTGCAGACAGCTGATCATTTGCATTCTTTTAGCAGATCATTAAGGTCACCTGGAGGTTTATCTGTGTCATCAGGGTCACCTGAGTGGTGCAAATTGGTGTGGAGCCTTCTTGGAATTGTTGAAAGGACTGTATTGTAGATTGAAGATAGATGATGTTGTATCCCTCCCCCTCTGTTGAGAGAGGACTGTTCAATTTTGACATAGATGGCTTCTTTAACCCCTCTTTCAAACCAACAGTCCTCTGTCCAAATATGGACTTTGTTGTCATCAAAAGAGTGGTCTGTGTCTTTTAAATGCAGATGGACTGCTGAATCTAGTCCTGATGTGTTTGTTCTCCTATGTTGTGTCATGCCTTTATGAAGTGGTTGTTTTGTTTCCCCAATGTGCAGACCTGCACATGGAAGAAGTATAAATCCTTCCATTCTCCCACCATCCTGTCAGAGCTGAAGAAGCTTCTTGGATGGGAAGCAAAATGTCTTCAAAGAAAAACTAGAAACTAGAAAGTTTTGAAGTTGCCTCTTCAGAAAAACCTCTTTGGGACAATCATTCTCAACAAAGTTTCTCAATTCTTATATATTATCACATATAATAATTGCCTAGTGATAAACATGGTGTGAATGAGCACCATGGTGTAATACTATAATTTTGTATTAGTTGTATAAAATCTGAACCATTGTCATTTCTACCTTGGGTTCTGATGGTTAAGTATTGGACAATAGAAATACAATCCATTTCCTTTGCTCTGGGCTTCTTAAAAGTATTTGATACCATTAGTTATATAATTGTATTCTAGAAAATCCTGTTGAGTAAGTCTGGAAAGCAAATTCCATTTCTAGATCTTGGTATTCATATCACTAGTTGCCTTGGATTCACATTGGTTGGAGTAAATGCCAGATCCATTTGTAATTGCTAAGTTTCTTCATGACTTAGTTATAGATAGCAGACAGCTGGAATGTATTATTGAAATCTGGTTAGGCAAGGGCAATGCTATCATCCTCTTGGAGATCTGCCCTCTGGGTTTTTGGTTCCACAGTAACCCAAAGATAGGCAAAGGAATGGCATTATATTTACATGCATTCTGTTGATTGGTTGGCATATAGTGATTTGAGCTCTTTATAAATTATCTGAAGTAGCATATCTTAATGTGTCAATCCTAGTGTGCTCATTGGTTTTTTAAGGAATTTCAGGAGATCAGATAGAGAATTGAAGTTCACAACATTAGTAGAAGACTGACTAAATACAGATACAAGCTCAGGCTTGAGCCTACACTGTGATGATGAAAAGTGATATATCATTACTCCTCCCTTATTGCATTAGTAAACTATTGACCAGTGATTTTATTTAGGATTGTAGAAAGGAGAACACAAATAGGCCACCCTTTGGGCTTCTGTCACTATTTTGTTCAGCTTTCTGCCAATAAATTACTTGGATTTGCTGAGATCCTGGTTCCCTGTGGTCAGAGTTCATAGTGGTGACAGCAGCAGTAACCCACCATGTTATCTGAGGCTTCTTTTGATCAGTGGTCTCTGAAAAAATAGATTGATTCCTTTCTAGCATGGGTACCCTCTCTTGTATACTTGATCCATGCTATTTCCAGTAGCAGATAGGATGTAACAAACTAGATGCAGGAGTAGTCAGTGCTTCAGTTTGGGAGAGGTTATAATATGATTACACATTGCTCTGTCTTGAAAAGACACTCTGGATCCAGCTTTATTTGATAACTATTGCTTGGTCTGTTCCCTTTTTGAATTAACAGAATAACAGGAGTTTGGAGGTCTTCTAGTCCAATCACCTGCTCAAGCAAGAGACCCTATACCATTTCAGACAAGTGGTTATACAATCTCCTCTTAAAAACCTCCAGTGATGGAGCATCCACAACTTCCAAAGGCAAACGGATTCACTGATTAATTGTTCTGTCAGGAAATTTCTCCTTATTTCTAGGTTGGATCTCTTCTTGATTAGTTTCCATCTTTTGCTTCTTATTCTGCCTTCAGGTGTTTTGGGGAATAAGTAAACCCCCTCTTCTTTGTGGCAGCTCCTTAGATACTGG